AATGAATAAATTTGCAAATTAAAAAATTAGAAAATTAGGAAGTTAGAGAATTTAAAAAGTAGAACATTTCACATATAAAAGCCATTAATAATTCAGCAATCGCCGATTCTAAAATAACCTTCTCCCTTAACTTACACTATGATATTGAACTTACGCGAGGCTTAATTGATTAGTGCACTCGTTTGGAAAATGAACGGTTTAGGTTCGAATCCCAGTTCAGTAACTTGATACCTTTCCTCTTTTTCTTCTTACCACGTAACGTACACCGTAATTCCCTAATAATACCACGCAATATCCATCTCTGTCTTTGGTGTATAATTAAAAATTATCGAAGAAGAACGTTCCGTTAACAATCTTTATTGTAGATCGGCTGTCATCACTGTAGAGGGGCACATCCATTACAAAGCGACCTACACAAGGCTCTGATCGAGTATCGAGTGGGTACAATTGTGGCTCTTCTGGATGAAAATTATGAGACGTTAATTAGGGAGCTTGCACAGAAATTACCTCAAGGCAGGGAGGGCCAAGCAGTAGTTTGGAAGAACATGAAATGGCGAAATTCAAATAATGCTCTACCAGAAAATCTTTTCGTTCACTCGAGAATTGATCGGCAAGATTTAATAGGTAAAAGACTACATTGAATTATAGTCTCCTCATAGAATCCTAGTAGGTTCCTGATTAAAACTAATTACTTTAACTCTTTCATTTTAAAGAACAATATCATTTAAAAGAGTATACACCAGGATTATTAATTTGACAGAAAAGCACTTACAATATTTAAAGTGCTTAAGATCAGGTGTTAAATTTTGGATATACTATTAGAATCATAGATAAAAGAGCAGGAAAGAAATGAAATTGACTTGTATTATTAGAACCATAAACAAAGCAAAATTTGTTGTTAGTGACCAAAATGACTTATACTCTTCTGCCTGCCTATGAGAGATATTATCTTTTCTTTTCTAACTTTTCTTATCACGTGTAAATTAATTGGGAAATATATTTTAAAATAATTTTGATAATATTATTATCATATTATTGCAGGTTATGGACGTACAAGAGTGGTGTTAAGTCACTGTGCAGACACAGAACTCCTCGAAGCTGCTTTCCATGGAACTCCAGTCATATGTTTCCCCAGAAATCCCAACGAAATTAAAAATGCTGCACGAGCGGTTCAGTTAGGCTTTGCACGTTCCGCTGAAGAGATTCATATTTCATCTGGCGAAGAACTAGCTAATACTGTGACTCAGATTCATGAAACCATGGACTATCGCGAGAATGCTAGAAAAGTATCTTTAACCATTCGTGATAGAATAAATCCTGCTGTGGATAGGTTAATCTATTGGTTGCGTTACATGGCAAGGACAAAGGATTGGAATTTAGACTTCCTAACTCCAATCAGTCCAGCGAGGACCTTGAATGAAGATCTCCAATTCTTCCTTGGTCTCTTTGTAGGCATTATAGTTGGAATATTTTCGACAATAGGTTGTATGTTAGCAAGATATTTAGTCATATCTAAAAGAACACAAAGATCAAAGGGAAGATATACACGATAAAAATGTGGTTGATCTAAAAGAGGAGAAAAAAAACATGGATTCGATAGGATGGATAATTACGGACACGTTTCGCATATGTATTTATATAAATGCACGTAGAGTACAGGTACATACAAATACAAATGTTACGAGCTAGGGTTTATCTCATTGCTAATGAAGAGATGTAACTATTACGAGAATACTTGATCAATAAGATTGATTGATGATTGATTGCTTGCTTGGAAAAAGCTAGAAAGTATGATGTAGCATATTATCAACGACGAGGAGAGAAAAATAAATTACAATTTGTCAATACTGCGCTCTGTATGTCGTCTCGTTGCACGAGTGCTCGCTCGTGTGCGTTATCGCCTAAATCCTTAGAAACGTACGGACGAATCAGTACTTATAGTTCATTCGATTCTCTTTCTCTCTAGCTCGTTCGCTCTCTCTCTCTCTCTCTCTCTCTTTTAAGGCCATGTTCCTCTAATTAGATCAGCTGCCTTTGTTTATGCCGTTCAAACAGAGATTGATTTATTCATGCAACGAATATACAGTGTGTTGCATTCTAAGCATTGATATTTCATATCATTCAAATTATTTCAATGTCGAGATTTAAATGAGATTTCAATGTTATCATTGTTTATTTTCACGTCTTCATTTTATTCTGTTTTTGTAATCTATGAAAGATGTACATTGGATTAATCTGTATATGTGAAATCTTGTAAACAAATGAAAAATATGAAAATAGGTTTTCTTCATAATCTTTGTAGAATAATAGTGAAACATTTTTCACTTGCAACGAATAATTTTCGGAATCGTTCAAAGATATAATCTAAATATAACACCCTGTACATTCGCATATCGTTGCTATCGACACATGTCATCAAACAATTCGTTACCTCATATAGATTTAAGAAAAAAAGATCATCGTCACGTAAGACGGGTGTAAAAAAAACCGATCTTCGTATAAAATATTGGTCATTGTAAAAAGAAGAAAAAAATACAGAGTAAAAAGCTGTACATATATTCAGTATAAAAAATTGTTTTTAGTATAAAAAAGAAGATTAAAAAATTGTCTCGTAAAAGCGAAAAATCATCGAGCAATCGTAATTAAGAGATCGCGACACATGATCAATTCGGACTTCGTAATTGACTAGACTGTGATCCATCTAGATCAGCGTGGCTGAAATGCGACGAAACGGTAGCTTCCACTTCGCGCAATGAGATATTATAGAACGTTACTCCCTATGAAGAAATACAATAAAATATACTGATGGAAGTTGTTTCATGAGGATGAATAAAAAGCAAAGAAACGAAATGAAAGAACAAAGAAAGGAAAAATAAAAGATGAGAGGAGGGAGGCTGCGGAAAACGCAGGAGCGATCACTCTTTTCAAAATGCTCCAGTTTCTCTCTCAATGCAGCATTCAATGAATCTAATTAACATCGATCGTGTTTTCATGCATAGCTGGCAGAAGCGATATAGCGTGATTACAAGTCTATTTCATAGCCCTAACGGCAATCTAAAACATAGATATATTATGTCAACTCAGAATTGCTTCTTCGTTTGTAGCACATTTAAACAAATTTTGTACATTATACAATTTGAGAAGCAAATTTTAGAATTTAATAATTTACTATCTTTTCACACAGTGCACATTATACTAAAATTGTGAATATACATTCACACATTTAAGTATCAGTTCACGTTTATAACTTGAAGTTCAGGATGCCGCTATGATTCTAGATGCGACAATATCAATGTCGCCGTTTAATGTTTCAATTTATATAACCTCACTATGTTGCTTCCACCAACAATACATGTTCTGTATGTATATATGCTTATCTATATACAGCGCGGCAGTCGTGGACGTAAAATCTACAAAACGGTAAGGAGACAGTATGTACAGTCATTGGCAGAATTGTTCCCGAATCGAGTGACTCGAGGCGAACTGTCGAGAGCGGATATGTGTTGCTATCGCGGCCTCCTTTTCCTTTATTTGTTCCCTACACTCCTCTCCCGTTCTCTGTACTCTTTTCTCTGATGTAGACTCTCGCTTTCGTAGTCCGCCTCGCTCCTCGTAACTCGCATTGTTCGCCGATACGCGGCCGACATACTGCGAGTAGTGTACAGTGAGTCGTGAAAGTACATATTTAGACGCCTGCAGACGTAAAGCATAACGCGTATGGCTTGCATAAGTTACGCTGGAACTTTTAAAATATGGTTCCAAGAGGCTATATAGCTTGGACAAATTCGGGGAAGCCGCTCAAGATCGTCGCTTCGCCATCCTCACCACTCAATGTTTGGTCACTATATCGTTATATCTTTAACATTTTTTTATAATTCGGGCTTTGACATATTTTATTATCGATAATTATGAAATGTTACGTTAAATATGAAAATTATGTTCAAAAGTTATTGGATGCGTTATAGCCAGAACAGTATTTTAAAAGTTTCAGTATAACCTATATAGCGTTTCATTTCCGGCTGCAAAGCGCATAAGCGTATTTTTGCAGCTCACTGTAATTCGCTTCGTATTTAGGTGAAGACAAGGTGGTTCTAGGCGCTAGAGAGCATTGGTATACAATGAGATACCTACACATCGTGGAGGTTTTTACTTCGAATATAAATAAGACTCTCGCGCCATACGCAAATGTGCGAGCACGAACAGAAAATTAGAAAAGAAGAGGAAAACAAAAATATGGAAAGAAAGGAAACAGTTGAAAAATGGAAAGAAAGGAATAGAGGAAAGAATGGTCGTCGAGTGGCCTAATATCTCGCCTATATTACTCTATTTCATCCTCGTGTTCAGATTCTCGCTTATCCGGACACTCGATCTCGTTCACGCGGAAACACTCGCACGCTTCTCTATTATCGTCATGTTCTCACTCTCTCTCCCTCTCGCGTCAGCAAAAATCGTAAATTATTAACATATTGAGTTTCAGCCAAGGATCAGTACGCTGCGAATACGTTTAGCTGCTCTCAATGTCGAATAAAATATTCATCGCTACACAGTAGTTTCATCGATTAAAACAAGATCCTTTTCGAAAGGTTCAATTTCGCTCTTCCTACGATTACGTAAATTGTAGTATAAGACGAGCACTATTGCGCGCATAATATATGCTCTTATAGTCGAGCCCAATTCCCGTTACATTTTTAGATATCCGTGGAAATTGGTGAATTGGTAATTTTTCATCGTCGATCCTCAACATGTTAACATTTACATAAATAATGGTGCACCTGAGAGCCAGACTAATATAATAAGCCACGTAACTGTGCAACCGCATAGATACCTTGGACTCACTGTCGCAACGTTAATACTGAGACGACTCCAGTTTTATGACAGGCATCTTTTTTACTCCAAAGTTCTTTCTACAGGATGTTCTATTTTGCTTGGATTATTTTAAATATCTCTATGGTGTTTGATAATAAGAAAAATGATGCTTTCTAAAATAACTAAATTTGGTTTATCTTAAGAGATATTTCGGCGATTGTTCAGAATTGTTTTCGATTATTCAATAATTCAGGATTACTCAAAGTACAGATTTTTTTATATGTTAACACTTCCACAAGTAACTCAGTAACAATTCTTTCAATTGAAAGCAATATGACTTTTTGATGGGTGTAATTAATCCGTTTCTATTATCAAAAACAACAGAGATATTAAGATATCACGTGTATCAGTTTGTACATCGTAAACACGTTTAGATACATCCTGCCATCTTAACATTCTAACCATCCGGAAACTACATTATATACGCTCAAGGTCGATAGTTGCCGAAGCGCGGTGGACTTACGACACTCTGACTGTCAGGTACAGAATGCACTATAAACGTAACGTGTTACTCTTCGTAGCCTCTCGCGGCGCTTTTCTCTACTCGGCACGCGACTGACTTCCATATCTGGAGCCAAATCGGCCTCGATTGAATTAACTTAAACAAACAAAAAAAAAAAAAAAAAGAAAAATACAAACTAAAAGAAACAAATATCAGAAAAAGAAAAAACACGGGGATGGTAGATGCGCGATCTCTACCCTGATTCCATTGCGACCATGAGAACGGGCCATCGTGTATCGAGGGATCGTGGAGAAACTGCCTCGACGCAGAGGGTCGTTAAGCACCTTTCGGTAGGTAGGCCGACCGGAATGCAATTTTTTTTGCTTCTTCTTCTTCTTTTTTCCTTTTCTTATCTTTTCTTTTGTTTACCGCCTAATTGCACACGTGCTCCTCCCGTTTGTGCCGACACAGCTCGCACTTCACGTGACAACACCAGACGAATCGACAATTGCATTTTTCGGTCACGTCCCGGACTCTCGTCTGGTATCCCCGACCGCAGCATAGTAATCGACATCCGTCCAAACCAAGGGATGTTCGATTGCATATCCTTCCTCTAGTCCCGGGAATACCGAGCCTAAAAATAGAGATATTTAGAAAAGATGTTCTAAATAAAAAAGGTTTCAATTATGAAAAATTGTATTTTAAAATTGATTTTATTGAGTGTAAATGTTCTTGTTATTGAGGACCCAAAAATTGAGTTATGGGTTGTATGAAATCAGGTAACACTGAAGGCTATTTCTTTTAATATTGTGGTTTTGAACCTTCGTGAATATTACTGCCATCTGCATTTCAAACGAGAACTACAGTAGTGAGAACTGAGTGACTACTGTAAATTAAAGTGGAATAAAATAAATGTTATAGTACGATTTTAACTTAATAAGTGCTTTAGTTTTAAATGTAATATACAAAATAAATGTATAAAAGAAATAATATAAAAAATAGTAATAGTTCAACTTCTCACGTGATATTTTTTTCACAATAGTCAGGACTATCTTCAAGGTACACTAGGTCCGTTTTATTAGGTCGTTTGAGGTCTGGACGAGCAGGCCTCAATCTCGCTGGTCTTCTACCTCCACGTTGTGCCAGTCGTACCAACGCTGCTCCTTCGTGCAACGCGGCTAACGCTGCTCCAGCCACCCTGAATGCCGGCAGTCTTCTCCAACAGACGCGTACGCTGCATGACCCAGACATTCCTAAGACAATAAAACAATTATGTTTCGATAGACATTTAGAAAAATAAAAAAAAAAGATTATAAGTATGTATATGTAATATGGAGAACTTTAAGAAACTTAAAGTGGTAAAACTTACTAGGGACTTGGAACATCTTCTGTATTAAGATTCTGAAGAGTACAGAAAGGCATAAAGAACTACAGTAATGTTTTGACTTTGTGGAATTCTTTTACAGAGTATTTTATGACATATAAAATTCAATAAGCAATATTTTAATACAAGTCTAATAAGATTCTCTAACCTTACAATTGAAAACCTCCTTTATTCTTAAAAAGTACATTGAATTACAAGTAAATCACAAATTTGTGATTCAAATACTTCCTGCTATTCATTGTTTCCTATATAAGAACGCATTAATTGTTTTAGTATCTAAAGCAAACATTTGATATCTACCTCAAGTATTCTTTATCATACTACACATGTATTTTTATTGATCCTGGTATTTCTTCATTTTTTAAACCTAATTATCAATATGAAAACTTCTAAAAAACGGACAAGGAAGAATAGCCGCTGGTTTCACGAGACTGATAAAACGAACGTCACATTCCTTCTTTTCATGGCATGCTTTGAGGCTGAAACAGGTCTCAGGAGAGATTCTTCTACCCATGAATCTGTACACGCATGAACGCAGCGAACCAACGACGAGATGTGGAGTGGGGGAAGGCAAGGGATTGGTGAAATCCTAAGTCGTTAAAGCGTGAGGAATGAAAAATAAGAGCGTAGATAGAGGACCTTATCTGTATAACACGTTAATAGCTCACCATGGCATTTGCACACACGTTGCATTCTCGAGCGAACCGCGCGTCTGCCAGATTCGCTATCATGCTTCCTCATCAGCTGGCCAGCCAGCCCTTTTGGTCCGTGCAGCACACCCTCCTTCACGGGTTCCTCGCTACTATCAGACCATTCTCGCGAGAATTTCTCTCCGAAGTGGATGTCCTGAATGAGGAACAAAATTGGTTTTGTTATGAGGTTAGGTCTAATATGACATTAGAGCAGAGGAATTGTTTTAGTAAAAGTCGACACGATTTTTGCAGTAAACTTTCAAAAGGTGTAGCTTTGAGAAAGTAACGCAATATTTTGTAATTAAATTTTGGATGAAGCAGTGGTACTTTCTACTTTGTTTTAGGAATTTTTCGTGATGAGTATTAAAAAATCAATAGAATGCAAAAATATTGGAATGCTAGGGAAATTTTATATTTACATATTTAGTAAGTATGTTAAGGGGATAAATGTTTCATGAATATCTTAACAAGGAAAAAAGAAATATTTCTTTAAAAAAGAATGGTTATTTAAAGAGAAAAGATAAAAAGTCGATTTATCTGTGATCGAAAATGTATCTGTTTGTTAAATACAATTTTTAAACTGATTGCTAGCCCTTCATGCATCTAACTGAAACAATACACTCGTTACAATATCGAGCAGTACTTGGATCACCGATTCCCTATACATATATGCATATATATATATTCGTTCGTTAAGCGCTACTTTTATCTAACTAACTCGCAATACTCGACGGTTCGAGCACCACTCGAACCACTATTGACCTAGTAATGTATCTGCCTCTCGATGCCAACGATAAACCCACAGGAAAAAGGAAACAATAATCTCAACCAGTATACTATCAAATGCAAGATTCCATGTAATCTTCTCATCCACTTGAAAATTTCAATTTTTTCCATTTATGATCTCAAAACCTTTTAATTGTCTTGATCAACAAAAAGGGCCACAATTAGAGACCTTCTATTGGGAATTTAAAGAAGAAAGGAACCCATTAAAATTCCCTAGATTTAGAAAAATCATAAGTAACATTTTTCTTTAAAACAAACTTGTAAATGTGATAGAGTGCAAAGAATAGCATAGAGAGCATAATAGAGTCGGGTAGATTTTTCCCTTTATATTTCAAAAGCGGTATTTCAAACAATTTTAAAACTAATAGTATTTAATTATATAGATAGACCACGGATTTTTATGCATATATGGAAAAGTCGACGATGCAACATTTTGCACAGTGGGACATGGAAAATTACATAAAATGTTCAAAGCATACTATAATTTATACTAGATGAAGCAAATTTCGTTTTAACCTATATCGTTTAAATATTTTGGTAAAAATATAAATTTACATAAACATCCACAGTCTGCATATAACTTTTCCTTTTCTTGTCATCTCTTCATAACCAATATTGTTTAAAATTGCTTAGACATGGCTTTTAGTATATAAGATGAAAAGACATCGCTTTTAGAATATAAGATGAAAAGACATCGCTTTTAGAATATAAGACGAAAAATCTATTTCACCAGAAACTTTTATACACTGATATGTCTTTTGCAAACTTGCTAACGGACAGCTTTTATGCATTTAATCCTTCCCAAGTTAAGATTTAGCATTAAACCGCTTTTCCTTAAACAGGCATTGTTCGTTTGGAGGGTAAGAAATTCCAACTGAAAGCTCCAACTAACAGACGGACGACTTATCGACGAGAGGTATAACGGTGGTAGCGATATTCGTTAGTCAAGCTCGAGGCACGACAGTGTCGGCAAACATCATTATCTCGGAAATCTGTCAACGGGCTGAAGCCGTAGACGAAATGTGGTATCCCATGGGATAGAACAGCGGGGCTTGTTAAGGAATCCGTGCCCGGAACTTGGGAAAGGCCAGAGGCCGCAGAAGTGGGCGAGTGGGTAATCCCGAAGGTAAAAGCAGCGCCACTTTCCCGACACTTCCCGCTCTTCTTCCTGCCACGTGAGTTCCTCGAGAGCACGTGTCTCCCTCCTTCCGTCTCTTGCTGCTTCTTCTCTTCTTTTTTTCCCTCGGTCATCTGTCTAGCCCGCCTTTTTTTCTCGCTATACGCTTGCCTTTTCTCTGTTGTCTTTTCTCACGCTTTCCTCTCTTTGTTCCTTTCTTTTAAAATTGGAGATTTTCTGCTCTCTTGGATAGGAATTTCTGAAGAAGATTTCTTTTTGCAAAATTCTGCTTACTTTCTGTGCCTATTTTCTTTGTTGTTTTGTTCTTTCTGCTTCATTCCTATCTTTCATAAATTCTTTTTTTTATATTCTTCTACTAAATACTCTACGTTTTCTGATATCATTCTGTTTTCTTTTAAATATCTAAACAATTTTATGTTTCTCTTTTCACGTTCTATTTATTCCCCTTTCCTAATTCCTCTATCTCTTTTTCTTTATAATCGTCGTCTTTTTCTTTATAATCTCTGTAATCATTCTAATTTTCAATTCTTTTCCCTTTTCATTTCTTCTCAATTTCCGCTATCATACCTTGTACCTCTAATATAATGTTTTCTTCTCTTATCCGTTTTTCCTCTTCCCCAATCTTGTTTCTTTATAATCTTTGTAATCTTGTTAAATTACAACCTTTACTTCTTCTCATTTTCATACTTTACACCCTTTGGTACAATTCTATCTTCACTTACTTTCTTACCTCTTCTTTTTCTCTATCGCCATTTATTTCCTTTTTCTAGCTCCTCCACCCCGCTCCCATCAATTTTTTTCGTCCACGATTTGTCCTCGAGCATCGTGTCTCCAATTGCCCTCCACTTCTTCCACCCCTTTCTCCACCCATCTCTCTATTTATCCTCTGTCTTACCCTCTCTCTTTCTCTTTTTCTCTCTGCACGTATTTACGTTCTCATGTGCATCGCTCGCGTTCCGAGTTACGTGGCCGATATGTCCGGGCTGTGTGCGGGGGCAGGAGGTGGCGGGTTGTTGCAACTTAACAAGCTTAGCCCCCTTAATCCCCTTGTAAGCTAGCAATGTCTACAAGGGGTCAGCCGTACGCATGAAATGCATCCGTTTACAGGACGAGCTTTGTCTTCGTTCCAGGGTTAAGGTTTACGTCGACCGACCGTGCTGAGATCGAGACGACAAATTGGGGATGCCTGTGCGGGGCAGTGCTTCGCCCGTGCGCTTCAGGGGTGGCCTCTCCGTTCTACAGGGTCAACAAAATAACTAGATTCTTAGATTACTCCTTTTTTATTTGTCATTTCTATTTTTTCTTTTTAGGGTGTCTATTTATAACTATTATACAAAGCATTTAAAGATAAAATAATACAAATGACACAAGTGTTTAATCTGAGGATACTGTTGATAAAGGTAAATTTTGTAAAAGATTATTTTAGTTAGAAAGCTAGAGTTATTTCGATAAATGAAAATTTACATTCAATTTTCAATCAATTTAATTTTCATTTTGATAAATGAAAATTATACAGACGTTAGTTCAGAGAATGTTCAACTGCGTTAAAAGTTACTTCAGAAGAAATCACTAAAAATCATTTTACTAAAGGTTATTTTATTATAATTTGATAAAATTGTGGGTGAAGGCAAATCTTAAGAAAGATTATTTTATCAATGTTTATTGTAGAGAAATCTATATACTTTTAAATATTAAAATATATATTATGTAGAGCTATAAAAGTTTAGAAATTTATGTATTTTTTTTACAAAGTTGGGCAACTTTTTTCTATTTCACTTCTGATAGCTTTCAAAAATTCTTTTCAGTTTCAGATCCATATCTTTGTAGCACCCTCTACATGTTTTTTTATGAAATAATAATTTTTTAATTTGCTTCACATGAAAGAATATCTTAGAAAGAATATCTAGCGTAAAAAATGATAGCAGTCTTAAGGTCGCTAGAAAACAAAAAAAAAAGCGTAGTGAAATCATGAATATATAATACAACCCGTAGTCCAATTTATTCTGGATAAAACGCATTTTGATCGGCTCATTAACGACGAAAACACTCAAGATAACGGAGGTTCACCCTGTACATCATTCCCACGTTTCCCGCCCATAAACTACTAACAACACTGATTCGAAGTTAATATACTTCAGAATGAAACAGCGTTTTCCTACCCTAGTCAAGCCTCTTTCACCAAATTAACTAATTTCCACTGATTTCGGCCGACCACTTTATCAAATAATTCATATTATGCTTCAGAGATGGAATATTTTTTTCAGTATATAATAGAAATATATTCAACTTTCTACATCAATTTCTAATTTACTAAATTATTCCATTTAACATCTCTATTAAAAAATAGTCTATGCATACAAATAAAATTCTAGTCGATAAAAGAATTCTAAGATATTTCCTAAAATTTAATGAAAAATATCTAAAGATTTCATTAGAAGAAAAATCCCACTAAATCTCAACAGAAAGTGTCAATATTTCAATTTTAATAAGTTTCCAAAATTCTTCTTAAAGAGGAAAAAGATTCATAACCTCAAACTAATTTCAACGTACAAAGAAATTGTAAAATATTTTTCAAAGTCCTATTTCCAACATTATTAAAATTTCCATTAAGTAATTAAGCTATATATTTGAAATCTATTTGTCTCGAGAAGAAAGCATAAAAAAAGCGTTGAAAGCGTTGTCGACTCTAGTGTACCAGCAGTTCCCGAGAAAAAGCTAACCACTGTTGTTCTCTGTATCGGTGAGGGGTTTGTCCCTTGCCCCCTGCACGCGGAACACGAAGAAAAGGATACTGTTACGTATACACCGGTCTGTTCTCCTGAGTTCTGAAAAGGGTGGAAAATAATCGTCGTTTGTCGGCGGAACGGAATTTCATTAAGTTCCACGGCAGCCGTTTAGATTGATTTACGATCGATACACGATAAAGTGAAAAGAAGAAAATTGATCAAGAACTCGCGAGCGACTCCGGTTTCGTGTTTCCACGAAATTGAAAACGCCGCCTTAAGCTCGCCGCTCGCGATGTAATTCGACCGTCTGCGCGCGTTGCCTCGCTTAATTAACGGACGTTGTTGCGTAAGAACCAAGAGAGGAATTCGTTAAAGTGAATCGAAATTAATTAAGTTGCCAAGGTTTTTAGAAGGGTGGAAATACTCCCGAATAAATGTTGCTTCAAGTTATGAAATTAAACCCTAGAATAATATTCTGATATATTATTAGGATGCAATTGTTTTTTGCAAGATATAATACAATAAATGCAATTTAATAAATGTATTTTCATATAGTTTTAAGTACCTTGTAATTTTTGTAAGAAAGAGTGGTTGTATCGTTTACAAAAAACTATACTATAATACAAAAAATTTAATAAACAAAATGGTAGTTTTCACGACACAAAATACATGTAGTATTAAAGACTTCAATTCTCTAAAAAGATATTGTATCGTTTATATACTATATTCTCAAGCAGAACAGAATTGCTATCATATAATCACTGAATTCTCTTCTATACTATTTGTCTCTTATCTTTTTAAATATCATGACTTATTCAAACTAAACCATTCTCTATCCTGTATCATATAAATGAAGTCTCAATAAATCAACCAATAACCTACAAGAATAAAAAGAACATTGTATCATCTCCAATTTTTAAATTAAAAACTTAATTACCAACTCATCAAAGCTTACATGTATAATATTTCCACTTCATATATATATCATCATGTACTTTAATACTAATTTTATCAGGCCCGGTTGAATGACTGGTTTCAAAATTTAATTTAAAATTGTGCATTCATTGTTACTTCTTTTGTTCATCTAACTTTATGTAAACTCTTATATTAACAAAAATCGACGAATTGATTAATCAGATAATATAAGAATTAATATAACATAAAGTTAGATGAGCAAAAGAAATAACAATGTATGTACAATCTTAAATTAAATTTTAAAATCGGTCGTTTGACCGGCCCTGGTAAGGTTAGTTTAACAGCAAGTAATATTATTAAAGATTTCTTTATAAGGAACAAGCCTAAGGAAGGTTAAAGGATAAGACGAGTCGAATTTATGGTATCATTTGCCCGCGCGTTATTTTTCAAAGGAGAAGGGAATACAAATAGAGGGGAAATTACCTCGCTGCAGCCGCCCCATTGCCAATTATTCGGGTGGCGTGTTCTGACTCGGTTGTCGCACGAGCAATCGGTGAGTTCGCCCCTGGAACAGGCTCTGGTGACACTGTAAGCAACTCCCGCCGCTGATATTGCGTACACGAACGCTGCCTCGCGACTGTCTGCAAAGATGCACCGGAATTTCTCCGTTGTAGCACAAGTTTTTCCATTTTCTGCAAGCTGCTAGCGTATTTTACTCTAATAAAAAACAAAATTATACCGCTACACCTGCACCGTGGGAGGTTTAATTAAAAAAAATTATTTCTCGCTCACGGGGGAAAGATATCTTTTAATTGTTTTGGATTGCATTATGTGTTAAATATGAAAGTTTTGGGGCTACGTGTTCCGTATTGTACGCTTCTTAACACGTAGTTAAAGTTTAAACAAAATTCCTAAGAATCTCATTTTCTCGGAGAAATACTTTAATTACCTTTATAATCATGGCTATATCTATGTTTACGTCTGTGTCTCTATCTACATACGAATTTATGTGTATTACAGTATATGTTTATATAAATATAAATTGAATATATAGTGTTATTATAGTTACTACTTTTATCCTCAGTTACCAAAAACCTACTGCCAAATCAAATTTCCATCCTGCTTCAAATACGCCAACCATAACCTTTGAATACATCCATTTTCACGTCGAACTAAAACTTCTCTTCATCTTAAGCTACCACTTTGCGAGGATTTCCTCTTACTGCGCATGCGTCGTAAGCTTTATTCCCTTCAAGACGAAGATTTTACTTACTGACTAGCATCACACCGCCGAAAATGTTGTCCGGATTTTCCGGGCTGATGGAGCAATTCCATCTGGCCGACCGAAACTGGTGCTGACATTCCTCAATGGCCAACCTCGCGCCCGCGCTGACTGCCTGAAAGTAAAAACTGTGAAAACCACGAATGGAAAAGAAAACAATTTCACATGAATATGCATACATACGAGTCTCCCAAAAACCATGCTGATCAACTTGATAAATTAAAATGCAGAGAAAAATGATAATTACAAATTACAAAGATAAATAAATTTTCGAAAATTTATCTTAGAGCTTGTGATATTTTATATATCTCTGTAGTAAATAGATTTATGAAAATGTGTTAAACTCTAATTATATGTTTGTTTTGGTGAAATCGAGAACTCTTAAAAAATAGAGATCAGTTTGATTTCTGAAAGTACAATATATCGTTTCTCATTAATTGGTTGAGGATGTACAAATATGTTACGTAACTAGTATAGTAAGCTTGTAATTAGATTCGTTTAATGTTGATTCTAATATTAGAATATAATTGAACTGGTGTCAGTGGGTGGACATGTTCTATATTAGGATCTATTGAGAATCTGTTGACGTGCAATTAGTAATCACTATCTGTAATAGCAAGTGGTTGAAATTAATACGGCTTCGATCACTGGTGATTAATGCTGATTAGAAGTTGTTTGCGGAAATTGTTGTTGTCGTTGGACAATGTTAATTTAGGTTACGTGTTTGCGAGAATTAGAGAACGCTTTGTAAGTGGTAAGTGTAAAATTTGAGAAATGTTGGAAACAATTTCAGGTACACATAAAAGAGGCTTATAATTAAAACAATTACAAATAGTTGTTTTATAATGAAACTTGAAAACGGAGTTTAATAAGCTTTATCAATTTCTAACCTCAAAGTACCAAATTCCATTCACAACACCAATCACATTTCAAACAGTCATGACGAATATAAATCAATATCAACTTCATTTTCAATTCCATTTATTACACAGAAATTTTAAACAATTCTTTTGGACAATGATCGAATCAACAAACAGTATCCTCATATATACTTCCAGCGAAACTCGTAACCTGAAACCAAGTCAACTCATGGTCAGAATAAAGACCATAGAGATGGAGAAAGATAAAAAGAAAACACGTACAGCTTGATGGCCGAAATTTCGACACGAAACAAATCGAGGATCGTTCGACGTGTATCTGGTTAATCGTCCGAGGATTAAACGTCCGTCGCGGTGTCGTTATGAATATTCATAGAGTGGTCTTTTGTCGGTAAGCAAGATTTGGAAAAGCAAGGTAGTCGGCGTCGTTCAAAGAGATATATCGAGCCACGAGTTTACCTAGACACCGGTTTCTAGACGAACACTGCTTCTGCCCTGCCCCACCACGACAAGATTTGTGCATTAGGCAGAGGTAAACGCGATTTTGGGCAACATTTGACCGCTTTTTTACCGGCCAAGCCATCCAACCGTCGCAGGCTGCGACAGATCGCCAAAGACTTTATGTAATTGGAATTTATTTATAGTAGCATAGTAACATGCATTTGATTTTTTGTATTTGATCTTAATTTCTTAGGTTATATCACATTGATGTTGATACATTAATCTATAAATTAGACCAGTTCTAAAGCATACAGTTTTAATCCACTTGTTCAAAATTTATTTTCTTTCACTACGGTATAGTAAAGTAGAAAATGCAAATGAAAAACCTTTTCTCTTAAAATCTAAACTATACGAAAGTAAATTACTTGCACATTAAATTAATTACGCAGTGTAAAGTTTAGCTTGCAAATGCTTTCAACTTATAAAATAGAAACTACTCAAAAATACGTCATTTAAAAATTAAATTGGGTACATAGCATAACAACTAAACTCACATCTCTCAGTTCTGTAAACCTAACACGCAAGATGCTTTTTGTCATAAATGTACCGGTGCAGGTGCTCTTCTTGGAATAAAGGTTAAAGACCCTTGGTATGGGGAGTTAATTTTAGTATGCAGGTATTATTTAGAATTTTATTACTTTTTGAGATTATAGCGTAAATTCTGTACCGTTGAATGCTGTGAGCACTTTAATACTCGTGTATTGATATTTTTTTCATGTTGATGTGGTTACGTTAAAGTATCCCTAATAAAATGTTACTTTTCTTGTTTTTAGTGAATTCTTGTGCTCGGTGTTGGTTTTTAATGAACGTAGAATTAAATGGTACAAGGAGAAAGTCGAAGCAAATGGTCGGATAAGGTTTGACGTTGTTGATTGGAATTTTTAAATGAGTGTGTTTCACTTTATAGCATTTGAAGTAATATATGTATAATTAAGTACTTTTAGTAGCAATTAAGGAGTTTGTAATTGTACAATTTCAATTTTTTAGGACACGCAAATTTCTGATTCCTGTTAAAGGGAATTTTTCTTTTTGGAGGAACAATGAAATAATTTAAATAATTTGGTCATTTATTAAAATGGACGTATTTCGTGATTATTAAAAATCTGAGTATTCGTTAAAATTGTAGAATATCTTCACATGGTAGAAATTGAAACGTGCTCGTTTCAAAATTTCAGCTAAATATTTGCTCAAAATTTCACGGTGTTTAATATTTTCTCATAAGAAATATATTTATTTGAAAAACTAAATCTTCCAAAACATTTTAATTTCTAAAAGCATTACCATGCATCACGTTACACTTCTCTTAAAATCATGCTACATTTCCAAGCAATAATTCTTGAACTAAAACATAATGTACGAATTATTCTTGGCCTAAACGCTCTGAATAATGTTTCTACTCGGTATCTCAAACAAATCTTCCACTAAATTTGTTTGAAATAACTGAAATACCATCTCGTAGACGTAACTTTCGCAAACATTTGGAATATTCGGCTGTTTCAAACTAATTTACAACGGCAGAAACAGAGTTTCACGGAGATCCAAGGCTCGATCCAAGATCAGAGAATTCGCGACTTCATTTACCGACTGCGAGGCGTCTCGAAAGGAGGTCGTGTAGGGTTCACTGAAGACCCTGACTGTTCCAGAGCTCGAGTATTAAATATTGCAGGCGCGGCAAACGAAAGCTACAACTCGACCGCTGCATTCCGGGAGTTCTTTAGAATCGTGCGAATTCACCGGTGCACTCGCGCCATTTTCCACCGACGCTCAATTTTCCCCTTCGCGATCCGGGATCATTTTTTTATCCCTCTACATCACCGTAGAACTTGAAACACATGTATCCACATGTGTGTTTACACCTTTCTAAATTTTATTTCAATTTATTTCTTCTATCTATATTCTTCTAATCTATATCTCTTTACATTTTGTTTTCATTTCTTTTGATGCGTGTGTTTATATCTTTCTATATTTTGTTTTGAGCGAGTATTGTGTTATACAGGATGGTTGGTAACTGGTGGTTGGTACAAACGGAAAGGGGGTGATTCTAGGCGAAAAAAGAAGTCGAAAATATAGAATAAAAATTTTTTTTATTTTTTTCTTTTAATTTTTCCATCGAGACAACGATCTACAGTGAGATCCGTTGTAACGAGACGCGATAGAGTGCACGCGTACCGAGCGAAAATTCAAAGTCGATTTTCTCGAAAACAAAGCCTCGAACGAAAAATTTGTATTCTATATTTTCGACTTCTTTTTTCGCGTAGAAGCACCCCCTTTCCGCTTGTACCACCAGTTACCAAGCACCCTGTATATTACGCGAGAATAAGCGAAAATAAAGCGAGGATAAACGAAATATATCGTAAAAGCCGAAAGTTACAATTTAGAATGTTTCAGGATGCGGATGAAGAGAGGAAAGGAAAGTTAAAATGCGTTGCCGCTGTTTTCCTCTTGTTCTTTTTAATTGTTTTTCTTCTTTTTTCATGACACCTGTCATCTATTCTATTTGGTCGTGGAAGAATATGCTAAGCGAAAAAAGAAGTCGAAAATATAGAATAAAAATTTTTTTTATTTTTTTCTTTTAATTTTTCCATCGAGACAACGATCTACAGTGAGATCCGTTGTAACGAGACGCGATAGAGTGCACGCGTACCGAGCGAAAATTCAAAGTCGATTTTCTCGAAAACAAAGCCTCGAACGAAAAATTTGTATTCTATATTTTCGACTTCTTTTTTCGCGTAGAATCACCCCCTTTCCGCTTGTACCACCAGTTACCAACCACCCTGTATATTATTGTGTTATATGTTATGTTACGTTACATATATTATATTTGTTTTCAAACGCAATTAAACGTTATTATATTATGTTGTATTATTATTATGTATACTACATTTGTGTCTAATGTATGCTATAAGAAATAGTCGTGAAGAAATGCTAGAATAATTATTTTTAAAATAAGAAAATGTATATTAAGGAAACTAATCCGGTACGCTAAGGAAACTCTTTCCAATAAACGTAAGATCTGATATACAATAAATTATTGTATTATTATTATGTAGTATCATGGATGAGTTGTCTGGGGGGTGTTGTGCAGATTATAAACAAGCGGTTGCTGAGCGTGCATGTAGTAAGGTTAAGACAAAAGACAAGGTTGCTAGGAGACAATAAACGAATTAACAGCGGTACGAATTGAGATGTCAAAAAGTGTGGATTGCGTTGATAAGAGACGTTGATTAATTACTTAGTTGTGTTGATTATTATACGTTTGCTGCGATTAGTCCATGTTTAACGAACATTATTTTCTGTTCAATTAACACCTGTTCAATCTACTTATCATTAACAAATTAACTATAGTAGTTACGATACTACAATTATTATTATTTATTATCATATTTATTTATTATTTCTTCATCTGAAGAAAGTTTAATTTGAATGTGTTTGAAGATGAAGAGTTAATAGAAAAACATAATATAATAACAGAATGCCAAAAGAATTCGAGAAAATAAATGTATGGAATAGCTATCATCATAGAAATTGAAAAAGAAAGCGTCCGAGGAAAAGGTCGAACGTCCCTGTGACATTTAATTGTCCATGACCTCCCTTTTACGTATGCATATTTAATGACACGGTTCAATGCGGAATTATGCTATTCGCCCCTTAACGATGCTGCACATTTTTTCGTTTTTGATTTCTCCATCTTCGAAAATTAAATGCTTCACACGTGTATTTAGGTTTCTCACAAAATTATACTTTCGGTTCACCTTAACGACAAAATTCGATGGCGGTAATACAGAGAAACTGTTATTATTACTGAAATCTTATGGTTTTTATGTCTCTCGGGAATCAATTTTGGAAAGTAAAGAAATCCTTGAAAAATTCATCCTTATACGCTGTTATATCGAAAATGTTTAATTCACCACCTAATTGGCGTTAGATAACGTAAAGAAAAATTTGCTGGAACGAAAAATATGTGCAGCAAAATGCTCACTCTGCCACTGATTCACTTATGGCAATATTATCTAAACTTTAACTTCTTCATGCAAATCCCCTCCATTTTAGTTTCTTCGGTATAAGTTTTACGCTATAGCTGCCAATAGTTCGACTTTTAAGGAAAAAAGAGGAAAAGAATCTAAAATTGATTTTCTACTAGTATCCTGTTAAACAAAGGAGTAGAGTGTAAAAATCGTATAGACAATATCACAAACGATTAACCAACAGCGTATTAAATTTAAAAAAAGAGAAATAAAGGGGTATTCTGGTCTAGAGGCATGAATCTCGGACGATTTTTGAAGCTCTGTACAAGCGAAACAAAAAATATTTTTGCTGTCCTTCTTTTTAGCGTTTGTTTATTGATATTTCGAGATTACGTAAAAAATTCACTGAAAAAGAAAGCTCAATATTTAAAAAGTTACGAGCTGGCAAAGTGGGTGCTGCCAAGAAAATGGGGTGTCGTGGCGTGCATGATATCAACCCTTCTGGTCATTTGAAACAAAGAAAGCGAACAGATTCTTAATTAGTATGGATGCCGCTATCGTCTGAATCTTGGAAAAGTCAATGCAACATTTTTTCACGAAATGACGGCCGTTTGAAAAAAGATTTCTTATTTCGTACGTTTCTTTGACAATTCCGAACGTTTAAAAAATAATAATATTAAAGATTTTGAGCTGAGCGTGGTCCGGACGATAGAGGAGTATATAAGGAATATTCAGACCAAATTTTAAATAAATCGGTTCGATAGAACTTGAGATATCGTGCACGCCAACTCGAAAAAAAGTAGTTTCGAGAAAAACGCGTTTAAAGTTTTGAGACAAGTTTACTCGGACAACGTCTACCGTCTACTGTTCATTTATTCCGGTCGGACCGAAGCAGATGCTGCGTCACAAAAATGGCTGTAACTCATAAAATAGTTGAAATTTTGAAAAATCCTTTTAAGGGCATATTCTTGAATGTCTAAACTTTGGAAATATGAAAAAGAATTTTCGATTTTTTCAAATTTCTAGACCAGAATACCCCCTTAGAAAACATAAAAGTGACAAAAAAAGAATCTAAAATTGATTTCTCACTAGTTCTCTGTTGAAAAATCCGCAGAGCGTAAAGATCATACGGCCAATATCACAAATGCTTGGCCAATAAAATTCTGATCTACGCAAAAAAATGAAATTGAAAAAAAGGACGAAAAACGATCAAAAGCCTGATTTCTCGTTGATTCTCCACTGGAAAATTGGTAAAAAAATGTGTAAAGATTGTACGAACAATATAAAAAGTGTTTGATCAATTAAGAAACTAACCTAAAAAAAAGAACGTTTAAAAGAAATAAAAATAAGATAAGTATGGGGAAAAAATGGAATATTGATTTCTCATCGGTCCTCCTTTGAAAAATCGACAAAGTGTAAAGATCGTGCGGACAATGTCGTAAACGTTCGGCCAACAGGCCGCACGGAGGGCCGGCGAATCGAATTAGCCGCGTGCTTCCCCGGCCATTAATCCGAACGGTGAAGGAGAGAGGTTGCCCCTGCCGTGAGGTAAATACCTGCAGGACTGGAGGCGAGCGGGAGCATATCGCCTGCTGCTTCGCGGTCAGGTGCACACTCTTGCAGTTCTTTTCGGCGCTTGCCGGCCCGATCACACCCGCGCCAACGATCTGCGCTTGACCATCGCCACCGCTTCCAGAACTTGATCCGCTATTCAGCCGTGGCTCAACACCCAGATACCTGAAACAATCCCGGAAGCAGCAACCATTATTGTTATTATCCTTCGATTTCTTACGTGAACCTTCTTACGAAATCCCAACCAACTTATAGTGATAGATTTACGGAAATACTTATGTAAGTTGGAATTGATCAGAAGTGAGGTTAGGTTGAAGTTTCATAAACGTAATATTAAAACTACCAAATTGCTTGATATAAAAGTCGAATAAAATACTAACTAATTTATTATACGTATAGGTTTATGAAGATATTTATGTAAGTTGAAAGAGAAGATGGAATGTGAGGTTAGAATAGGGTTAGGTTATAGGATTAGGTACAGATTTAGTAAGTTTAATATTAGGACTATCAAATAGATGATAATTGTCATAAAATCTTAATCAAAATTATCGTATTAGTTGTAGCTTCACGAAAATATTTATATTAGTTGGAATGGAAGATGAGATGTGAGGATGAGTTACAGATTTAATGAAGTTAACGTTAGAATTATCAACGTATGTTAATGTAACGGGTTTTATATACTTTTTGCATTTACAAAAAATTAATTCAGGCAGTCAATGCAAGCTTCAAGTAAAAGGAAAATATTATTTTGAAAATTATCATTTAAAAAATCCAGTATATCTATATAGATTAATATTGTTCCTTTATCATTCTCGAATCACGGAATTTCCTTCTCCCCACTCTCGTGTCATATATTACTTGCCCACCCTGTATTTTCACGAAGCATAGAGGACAGCTACTCGGTAGCCTCGCTCGTACCGAGGCTACCCACAAAGGAACTCTCGCCGTGACGAACCACCTATAATTAGAGCAGGTATTCGAGTGAAAATTATAGAGGGGAAAAGGACGAAGGGCAACAGCTAAGGGTAACCGATGCCCGACAATATAAGAGGATCCGCAAGAACCGACAACAGGGATTGTCTACGTCGTAACATGAGACAAGAAGACTTAACTTTCCTATCGCGTGAATCACATGAATGTTCAAGAATCTTGCTAGTAAAAGTTATTAATTGTTTTCAATGTAAATGAAATTTTTTAATATTAATATTATATAATATTTATATTGGTAATTACAAATTTGAAGTAGTGATGTAAAATACAAAATTTTATTGAACATTATATTTCCATATTAATATTAAATATTTTTTTGTCAAAATAAATTGAATGGATGTATTTCCGTTCATTGCGAGGAAAACATTTCGATATAATATGTTTCATAACCTCAAATTCATAGTAGCGACTTTAAACATTACATTTCGTTCAATACAAATTTATATCAGTAATCATGTATACATATTCACTATAATGACCTAAAGCTTTCGGCCTTTTGATCCGAATTTATATCGAAAGAAGTATTTTAATAATTCCCCAATATGATTTTCCAAGTTTATATTTCTCCATAAATGTCCTATTAAGTATTTAACTATTATACTTACGAACGGCGGTATATTTACTTGCTACAAAGGGTTTGGTTAGGGATAAAATGCTACATGAACCGGCGGCATTTTTTTCTGCGGCGTTCATCTCCCGAAAAGTTCACGGCACCTGGGTGAAAGCGTACAAGGAATCAAAGAGGCGTGTACACGGTATATCTCAGAGAAAGCGTGTCGAATTTAATTCCTCGTAAAGCTCCATTAATTTACGGGTGGCCGCAAAGAGATCCAACATGTCCGATCATCCGGCTCAATTATCGAATTTATTTAATGCCGGCCACTCGTAATGAGTACCTGCTTGCAAAAACCTATATTCTGATGCAGACGCGCGAAAATATCCTGTCTTCCCTACCCCTATACTCAATATATACCACATGTAGGGAGAACGATTGGTTGACTTCTCGCTCGCAATTAACTTTACTGAGAAAGATCAGTTCGTCGTTTTAAGGAGCGTACCTACCAGCAAACATATTCACGAACAATGCAATATCTTTGCATAATAGTAACAAGTTTGATAATAAACAAGTGAAATTTTTCAAGGGAATTGTAAAAATCACAAATTATTTGAAAATTGTAAGAGACTGTAGAAAAGAGATTCCTAACCTATTTTGCTTGTAACTTGTCAATATACCTATGATGTAATATTATTAGTTGATAAATTATTATAATGTAATAGTATGAGTTAATAAAATATTATACAAGAAAGCTTTGTACTTACTTCAGTATCAAATTTAAGTAAATTTAAAAAATACAGATAAATTTTAGACTTTATATACACCAATCCAGTATAATCCTAAATAACAGCAGAGGAAGGATTAGTTACAAAAAAAAGTAAATAAAAGTAAATAAAAAAGAGTCTAGAAGTTCGGAAACGTTCCCTGCCTCTCGTTAATCGCGGCGTTGTAAGAAGAAAAAAACAGGAAATATAGGAAAAAAAAGAAAGAATAGAAGTGGTCCTGTCATTTTCTATTATTTTTCAAAGGTTGCCCCCCTTCGGAGCATAGGTAGCGGTCGTTTAGGCGGTAAATCTTAATGAGAATCGAGGGTGTGGCCTTGGCCGGGCCCGGGAACGATGATTGCAACCCCGTGGGCAACGTTTAAGGGAACGGGTCGTCGCGTCAACTTCTACACGTACGACACACGCCGAGGGAGTGACCAATTCTCGTGCGGACGCGCCTTCGAGCTTCCTTAATGCGAGTTTGAGAAGATTTTAATCTGCCCACGAACTCGATTACTCCCGAAGCGCCTGGCTACTCGGAATTACAGATGCGGTCTAAAGGGAAGATAAGTCAGTGTTGCTATTAATCCTTTGGGATAATTTATCTCTTATTTAAGTTAACCTCTTTCTCTCATACTTTTCATACTGATATTTACATTCATGTCTTTGATATTTTTGCAATGCTGCGTATCTTTCCCTCTTTTGTTTCTTGGGCTAAGTGGAACATGTGGTGGACTTTACGAGCTGGTTTATACAATAACGAGACGAGTTGATACTTGTGCCGTTAAATGTATTTTTAAATATACAGGGTGGTTGGTAACTGGCGGTACAAGCGGAAGAAGGTGATTCTACGCGAAAAAAGAAGTCGAAAATATAGAATAAAATCTTTTCGTTTGAGGCTTTGTTTTCGAGAAAATCGACTTTGAATTTTCGCTCGGTACGCGTGCGGTACGTTATAACGGATCTCACTGTACATCGTTGTCTCGATGGAAAAATTAAAAAAAAAATTAAAAAAGAATTTTTATTCTATATTTTCGATTTCCTTTTTCATGTAGAATCACCCCCTTTCCGCTTGTACCACCAGTTACCAACCACCCTGTATAGTACAGAATACAGAGTCAATTGTCGTTCGCTCAAAGTCACTCGGTAGAAGAATGTTCGATATTCGTACGCTAGGTAACGCATACGTTCGCTCGATACTAATTGTCCTAAAGATCGTGTTCGTTTATTTATATTGGTCTGGGGAGTACCGGAAAGTTTAAATTCGCAACCGAAGGGTTGACGGTTGCACGTAGCGGCGATATTGTTTTGTCCGGAGTTTGTTTATCGTTACGTTTTGTACGTCAAGACGGTGTCAATGTCCCGAGGCAAAACAACATGAGTCGCTCTCGATTCGCATCGTCCTCTGACTCATGTGCCGCTACAAATATATAAAATGATATTTTTCACTGTAGATAAAAAGAAATATTTATTGAGAAATTCAGTCAATATTTAAATTTTACTTTTCCCGATTCTACTTCCCTGTTTTAACTTCGTAGAATGTTTAAAAACTCGTTTCAAATTAAGCAACCACATTTCCTAAATACACATTTTTTGATCCGCTAGCAATGTTCACCTTCTCTTTTAAGTCACCAAAAATTATACTAAGTCGATTAATCATAAACAAAATTTCTTCCTTTGACTTCCTCGAATTTCCTACTATTACCATTTCGAATGAAACAATCACAGCATTTCTCGAATCTCTTCCTACCACTGATATTAATTCCCTTATAAGAATTTATGCTCTCAAAAAAACCAGTACCACGTACCATCACCACGAAACCTCTTTCTAATCACCACCGTATCCTCCGCCAGCAATTTCAATCTCTAGCGCGGAAATCACATGAGTCATCTAACGAGGCTGACCGCTGCAACGGCGTAGGAGCGTTTATTATTTGTTTGCGCGCCAAACTCCTCGACTAGCTTCCATACCTATTTCGGATTTGTGTGACCACGGTTTACGGCTCTCTTTCACTGACCTCTTCCCACCACCCTTCCACCCCCACAACGAGATCACGCCATTTAATATTTGAAGTTTATGGAAATGGAAAAATATCTGTAACCATAATTATCGATAATTGTCATCGATATAAATATTTTTATTTAACAAGATCTGAAATAGAGTGAGCCAAAGTCCAAGTACTATTGTATGTTATACAATGTTACGAAAGATAGTGAAACCCGAAATTATAGGGACGAAGGAAGTGTCCTATATGTACGTATAGTGTACTGGCATCATCGACGAGAAGATCATCCCAGTCATTTGGAGTATCGATGTTTATGAAAAGGCTAAGCCGATGGTTAAATAGAAGATTTTGTTGGTCGGCTACCCTTAAATACGTGTTAGTCGCGCAATATTGCAATCAATAGGCGGTTGGCGATATGGTTCGGGTGGCCGGCTCTTATGGGGAAAAGGTATCGACGGTTCATCGACTAACGCGGTCAAGGTTAGATAGACGAGAGACGGAGGAAGATAAATACATATATATATATACATAAATGGTTGTAGGAATGTAGATAGAGATTTTGCAAGAATTCTCGATCTAAAGAATTCTTAGAATGAATTCGTGGGACGAATTTACGATGCAGTGTGTACATTACGATGTAATTTACATAGCGTGATACATGGAATTTACAATATACTGAAACAAAGATCTAAAATTTAAGGAATATTTTAAAGAAGAAATTCTAGTGCAACTATGATTATAATGTATAAGTACATGCATGGAATTTACAATATATTAGATAAAAGATTTGAAAAGTTATCAGTTTAGGGTCTAGGGAATTTTTTTTTTCGAATTGTCAGATTCAGAAAAAATTGTCATTACTTTATAAAACATTAAATAATTTTCGTTATATATTATTTGGCAGGACAATTCGATACAGTTTTATTAATTATTCTCATTTTAAAATTTCACAGAAAACTCAATTGTTGTCACAAACAATAATATCGAAAACCAATAACAAAGCTGAACACGTATTTCGTTTAATCGAATTCCACAGAAACAAAGCCACAAGTTTAAAAAGGATCCCTTTCCGCACAACCAACCGCAGTTGGCCGCTGAAGACGATCAAAAAACCGCAAAAACTTGATCCCGCGAGAGGACTCCGTTTACCCAGACAAATCGTTCGAAATGGAATCATGGGCAAACGATACCGCGCAGGATGTCCCCGTCGCGCTAGATAACCAGCGTCGAGCGGTGGGGAAGGAGGCAAAGTGAACGAATGGAGAAAAGGATGCAACAGTCGAGTGCACACTCTGTTCGGGATAAGGTCTCGCGGTGAGCTACGGATATTCGAGATGGTTAGAGAATAAAGAACCGACCAAAGGAAAAAAGTAATGAAGAAGAATGAAACTATAATTGAAAAATGAACAGGGCAAGGCAAACAGATTAACATGTATGAATAACAGATAGGTTAGATGCAACATGTATGAGCTGCAATCAAGGTGCAATCTGATTTTGCCATCAACGGAGTGAATCAATTGAATTGAAACCATGTAAGAATATGTTGGAAAAGATGAAACTAAAATGTGAAAAAGAGGTACATGAGACAAAATAAACAAGTTTGGTTATATTATATTATAACTTATAATGCAACATATATATGGACTGCAATCTGCACTTGCAATTTGTTTGAATTGAAACCACATACATACATATTGACATTCATTTTTCATTCTCTATTAGTTTTGTTTACATTGTCTACAGTCCATATTTTAGGAAGAGGATTAACATGGCAATTTTGATGATATATAGATGTACAGCACACATATTATATACTATATCACAACATAAATTTGTTGTATGCTAACTAAATATGTTGAACGCTAATTGGAGATTTGTTTCACTCTCTGAATATTATACTAAATACTTTACATTGAATATCTTTTAGGAAGGGGATTAACATGGCAATTTTGATGATATGTAGATGTACAGTACACATATTATATACTAAATCATAACATAAATTTGTTGTATGGAGGTTATCTATGAATAAATTATGAATGTTCAGGCAAACTCAAGTTTTTCTGATCTCAATAAGAGAAGCGAACGCTAATTGGAGATCTGTTTCACTCTCTGAATATTACACTAAATACTTTACATTGAATATCTTTTGTACATCTTTACGCATTTAATTTTCCTGTAAATACAATAACATCTACCGTCCATCAATAATATTTTACATCCTAACCTCTTCAAAAAGTCACACAACAAATCTTATAACACAATTAATTACAATACCATTTCATACCATAATAGGTACATCACAGATAAACTACGGATTTTTAGACTAAATTTAGAGGCACAAAAATCTACAGACTGTATATGATCTAGAAAAATAATAAGATATCCAATGCTCTGTCCAAAGTATTCTTTATAATTTTTATTGGATGAAACAAATTTCTATGTAAGTTTCATTTCTTTAATCCTGTTCATAAAAGCATAAAACTGTATAAAAATTTGCAGTCTAATTGTAAATAAAGTAACCAATCTCAACCTAATCTAAATTATCAATTGTTCAGGTGCACAAGATTAGGTGATTCACCCAGAGTACAAAGAAAGGGTGGAGGTGGGGTTAAGGTAAGTACATATAGGAGGAAGGAGAATAATAATTCGACAAAGCGGCGGTCGGAAAGAAAGAAATCCATATTCAGATCCGATGATGTATCCGGGGCCGCGAGAGGGCTGCTCCCCATTCAAAGGGGAGGAGGTAAAGGGAAGCAAGCCTATGGAAGAGGAAAGGAAGGAGGAAGCCGCGTGAACGTGTACTAGGTCCCACCACTACTATACTCACCTCACCCTTTTCACATCTTTCTTCTCTTTTTCTATCTTTCTCTGTTCGTACAGAGAGTATATGCCGCGTTTTGCCTTTATCATCGGCGGCGGCGGCAAACCCTTAGCCGCGCCACGATTATGATTCCGATTATTATGATTATGATTATGATTATGATTATTATGATTATTGTTAGGTGGAGGTATCGCGTTGCCGTCACGGGCACGTCGACCCATGCTTTGTCCACGTGACAGCGATAGGGCCCATTTATGTCGAGAACACACACTCCACGCCGACGTTATAATGGAGGATAAATCCAGCCGAAAAGACCACAATACATACATCGTTCTGTCGTAGCATTAACCGGTAAGCTACCGGATATTATCGGTTCTATGTGGATGGTTTTATATATTTCTGTACGTACGTTTGGATGTGTATGTATATAACGTAAATTGTATAGTATAGGGAATGTAATATTTTTAGCATGGCGTGATGAAAGAAAAGTTTTAGGTTAGCCGTTCTACTTGGTATTTTCATTTTTATTTTACGCCTTTAATATTTTCATTGACAACTTTTGTTTTGTGTTTACACGTCATTTTTACTGTATTTTTTAGACATCCTAGTTGGCAATTCCTTCTTTCAAATTCTTAAAGTATTAATCGATTCTTTTTTATCAAAGAAATATTTAATTCCGTTGAAGATTCTTAAGACATCGGTGCACTTCGCAAGAAATTCAAACTTCAACTAGCTTTGTTCAAGACTCTTTCTAGAAAATTTCTAGAAAATCCAGATACTGCTTAAAAAATAATGAAACTAATAACATCTATTCCAAATTCGTATCTCATCAAAGATAGAAGCTGCAATTATAATATTCTTATTTTCCAGCAAAATCCTAGAAGAATCTCAGTTTCGTCTAAAAGGCGAAGGACGCACCAAACTACCAAGCGTGAGTGTATAGAGGGGTTAAAAATCCTATTCTAAAAATTCCGAGAAAATCAGCCTTCTAGAAACCATTCCTACATGAAGAAACACTCTACACCACTCGAACCAGTTCGATAACCTAACCCAGCTCCTCTCGCCGTACCTATACAACCCTCTGCTTCACTCGACGCTGACGAACAACCTCGTCTACTTCATCTTCAAAGAGACAACAACCTCACTCTTCGATAGGCTGCTACTGCTAGACGGAAAAACTGTAATCGGATCCGTTTCAAGCAGAAGGAGCAGGAAACACCGAGAAGAGTTTCGAAAAGACGTCGCAAAGAGAACTAGAACCGCTACCGACGATGATCAGACAACATCTATCGTCGACGCGGTCGTAAACCGACGATACCAGACGAAAAGTCGACCGTTCGTCAGGTTGTCTGGCTAAGATTCGCTGCCGTGGTTCCGTTTACGAACCCACAGAAAGGAACGTAGATAAATACTCATGGGCGGCTCTTACAGTTTTACGACCGTGCCACGGTTCTACGTTTGCTCGCTCTATTTGGCTAACGACAATTCTGATCTGCATTTTCTCAAACCGAAACTATCCTTATCGCCCTCTGAGATTTCTCGTGGCATCTGGTGAATCGCGCGTGGAATGCGCTTGGCAACGCTTCCGCGTGTCTTTTGGCCGTTTTATTGATGGTGTACAACAAGTACTACACAGGATTATGCAATTTTGTATTTATAGAAATTCGGATATAAGTTAGTTTTAGTACGCGATGCAGTGTTTCAGGAATCTCCAAAGAAAATTGTTCGGTGAAATTAGAATACAGAATCCCTTGTTTTACAATGTCTTGGATCGTATGTTTTAGGAATATTCAAATAAAATTTTAGAATTCGAATATAGGAGATTTTTAATTAATGTTTTAAGCTTAAGTATTTAAAGAAAAAAAGACTTGAAAAAAGGCTTGTGGAAGAATTAGGAGAAATATGGTTTTTCTTTACTTTTTGTTATTTTCTCCTTGTCGATTTCTTAAACTATGTAAATTAGACAGGTGAAATTTTGTATCGTGAATGATCGGGTGGGCTGTTTAAAACAATCCAGACAAGTGAGCATTTCTGAGCGTAACAAATGAGACATTTTTATTAAGCTTTAGAAGCGTTCACTGAAAGCTTTGAATAGAATTAAAATATAGAATCTTTCCTTATCGATATCTTGAGTTGTATTTTCAAGATTGTCAAAGGAAATTTTAAATATTATTTTTCAAAAAGACTTCCGGGGAACTTTTTATTTTAAATGAAACTTCTGGACAGAATTGAAAGCAACATAGAACTTCTTAATCAATAGATATTTTTAAACGACTTTTCCATCAAGACAAACTGAAAAATTCCTGCACAACTTCTACTTTCATATTTAATTCTCCTATAAAACGTCTAGACGTAACAGATCCAGGAACTTTTGCGACTTTCTGAATGCTTCGTCCCCCAATCATTTCATCCCATCTCCTACTGTACGTGTCATCGTCGATCAGGATTAATTAGCCGGAAGGAAAGACACGGATCGTGATTCCTCTATGAACATAGAGCACGGTGCTCGTGCACATTCAAAGAGAGGAAACTTCACCTCGATGTTCCCGCCGCGATCTAATGGTCACCCTTCGGGCAGAGTTTTGGCCCGGGGGTCATCCCCCTTTTTCGCCGTGAAAGTCACGAGGGGGCCACTTTGGATAGAATGAGATACGAACGAGGAACGTTGCATAAGTATAATGCTGGCAGAGAAAAGGGGGATGTTCGGTAATCGATACTAATTAGGACGAGGTAAAGTTTCGGTTGTGAGAGGAACAGCGGCTCTCCTATAGTATTTGTTAGAGCACATATACACGCATATATGTACGCATAATTATACACAGTGGCTAATTATTATCCACTGAAAAGATTCTTTTGATTTTTTATTAATATGTTGTTCATTAGTACGTGAGATAAGGGTCCTTAAAGAATATTATTTTAGGAATTTGGTGGTACAAGCGGAAAGGGGGTGATTCTACGCGTAAAAAGAAGTCGAAAATATACAATAAAATTTTTTCGTTTGAGACTTTGTTTTTGAGAAAATCGACTTTGAATTTTCGCTCGGTACGCGTGCACTTTATCGCATCTCGTTATAACGGGTCTCACTGTAGATCGTTGTCTCGATGGAAAAATGAAAAAAGAATTAAAAAAGAAAATTTTTGTTCTATATTTTCGACTTCTTTTTTCGCGTAGAATCACCCCCTTGCCGCTTTTACCACCAGTTACCAACCACCCTGTATAATATATGTAATATAATGTGTAACAATAATTTGTGATAGTAATTTTCATCCCTTAAGAGTTCATCAATATTATTTCTAGAATTATTGTTTGAATTCTTAAAGATTGAAAGACATATTCATTGTTAAACTGAGGACTTGTATACTTAAGTATTAAATAACTAATTAAATATGTAAAAATCCACAAGATATATGCAATATGTAAAAGTACAGAATATATGCAAAATTGAATATTTATTATAATATATAAAGGGTAAAAGAAATTCCTATTTAAGTTTCACTTCTTTAATTGTATCCAGAGAAGTATAAAATTATATGAACATTTATAATCTATCTCTAGTATGTATTAATATTTCACTCTACAAAGAGTAGAATGGTACCTACAAGAAATTACAAGAAAGATGATACATTCCTGATAGCCAAAATATTAATTAGCACGTCCGAAAAGTTTCTTTCGTTTTATAAGGAAATAATGGATACACAACATTTTCCGTTTTATATTATTTTATCGAATTAATTATGATTCATTTTGCTCTATCAAAATAAAGATCACAACGCCCGACAGATTAGGTTTCATGTTTGTATAAAGATACGTCGCTGTAAAAGACGTGTCTGTAAAACAAAGACACTTTTCGGACAACTTAATAGAAAAAGGAAAAGAAGAAAAAGAATAGGGGGGGGGGGGAAGAAAAAAAAGAATAGAACAAGAATTCTTCTATTCTCTTTAACCATATCTAGAGGTATCGATAGGTTAAGCTTCTAGAGCGTGTACTCTAATGGGTTGCACGTAAATCTTTCGAGACAATAAAAATTATCACCGAATAGGTGTCCCGAGGGTCTGCTTACAATGTTTCGACGGAAAGGGTTCTCGAAATAATGGGGACGTCATAAAACTTATCTCACCTAACCATGGATATGAACAGCTTATCGTTTAACTCTTGTCCTCCTTCCCTCGTACCTTTTCCATGAAAATTCCATTTCATAATTTTTCACCTTTCGTCGCGATAACCTTTAGTAAAACAATATATTACCTTGAAATTCTAGAATGATTTAGATTGTTTCCTTGAAAAGGAAAGTTAATTATAATCTGTCTATCGAACAGAGAATTCTTAATTGTATCGAATTCTTAATTTTAATTTTTACTTTTCTGTCTTTTTAATTTCAATTCTTGTGCTGGAAATTCAAAAAGTAAACTGCTGCAGGAAATTTGCTATTGCAAAATGATTGAACAAATCTATCGAACAGAGAATGTATAGAATTCTTAATTTTAATTTCTACTTTTCTGTCTTTTTAATTTCAATTTTTGTGCTAGAAATTAAAAAAGTAAACTGCTACAGGAAATTTGCAATTGCAAAGTGATTGAACAAATCTGTCGAACAGAGAATTCTTAATTGTATCGAATTCTTAATTTTAATTTCTATTTTTCAGTCTTTTTAATTTCAATTTTTGTGCTGGAAATTAAAAAAGTAAACTGCTGCAGGAAATTTGCAATTGCAAAATAATTGAACAAATTTATCGAACAGAGAATGTATTGAATTCTTAATTTTAATTTCTACTTTTCTGTCTTTTTAATTTCAATTTTTGTGCTAGAAATTAAAAAAGTAAACTGCTACAGGAAATTTGCAATTGCAAAGTGATTGAACAAATCTGTCGAACAGAGAATTCTTAATTGTATCGAATTCTTAATTTTAATTTCTATTTTTCAGTCTTTTTAATTTCAATTTTTGTGCTGGAAATTAAAAAAGTAAACTGCTGCAGGAAATTTGCAATTGCAAAATGATTGAACAAAATCGAACGTACAGTATCGGTCCATGAAATTCAAATTTGCAAATTTGAAACATTCAAAAACCGTTCTATGCATGTACATGTGTATGTATAAGGAAGAGAAGGTGAGTTACGAGGAATTGAGCGAGTGACTTCAACGTCTTTCAGCGGGTAAAACATTCCGGATATCGCGGGCTCGTCATTCGATTTCCGGTCAGCTAATTTTCTTTCAGAAGGAAAACAAGTCAGCTTGATAGTTTGAGCACGCAGAATCTAACAAGATATAGGCGGAGGAATTAGCTCTAACAAGATTAAAGCTTTTAAACGGAACGCGCGCCGTAGCTCCGCACAAGATTAACCGCGAAAGAGTAGGCCGAGAGAGTTATAGATATTGCATTCGGTACCCTCTCCTATCTTTGCCATAATATTTGTCTTTTTAAACGACTACCTTTTTACGTTAGATAAAATCTTGCATTAAATATAGAACACGTCTCGCTCAAATCGAATATCTAAATTATCTTTATTGCTGTTGAAGATAAAAAAGAATGACTAGAAGTTTATATAGTTCCAAGATGTGTTCAAAACATTTATTGATGATGAAAAAGATGTTTCCTCAAGGTCATGCTAGATGTCACGATCATCGAAGTTCATTCATCTTGGAACAGACTAATATTCCCTTTATGTAGGTTATGTGAAAATTTTTTTAAGTAAATCTATATACAGGGTGGTTGAAAAAGAAGTCGAAAATATAGAATAAAAATTTTTTTTTAATTTTCTTTTTTTTTTCTTAATTTTTCCATCGAGACAACGATCTACAGTGAGATCCGTTATAACGAGACGCGATAAAGTGCACGCGCACCGAGCGAAAATTCAAAGTCGATTTTCTCGAAAACAAAGCCTCAAACGAAAAGATTTTATTCTATATTTTCGACTTCTTTTTTCGCGTAGAATCACCCCCTTTTCGCTTGTACCACCAGTTACCACCCTGTATACAAAATTGCACAATAAATACGTTAATACGTTCATACATAATCGACGCATTATACTGTGTTCTAATTTCTACAAATAGCCTTTAGTACGTTGCCTGCTGTGAAAAGTGCAACGTGATGCACAATACGTATTTGAGGAATCAACGCGTCGAAAACCCCAAAAAGAAATCGCAGCGCAAAGAATTCCATTGCTTCAAAAATGAAACACTTGGCCATCCCTCTTTGCTATGCCCCATCAGCTACCAATTTGCTCGCGTTTATTAGATCCACACGGAACGCAACACATCTCCTCCCACTTCACAAGCACGGTGCGTCTTCGCTAAATCCTCCCCACTCCTCCTCAAGACAGCACACGCGAGCCTAACGAATCGTAAGTTGCGCTCGATAATCGATAACCTCTCACCAGCGTTACTCATTACATTCCCTCATTCCACGGACGTTTCCCCTGTCTCTCGTCTTTCAACTTCCTACACGTCTTTTCTACGGCATAAACCAGCGGTTCTTAATCTTTTGTGTACCACGGATCTTTAACTAATTTTTCGTTGTCGCGGATCCCCATGACTAAAATCAACGCTTAGATTTGTAATGCGCCTCAAACGTGTATATCTAAAACATTTATCGACTGCTGATCAACAAACTTCAAATTTGGAGGAAGTGATTTATTATAAATAGAGTGCAGATTTTATGCATTTTTATATCTTTATGAGCATAACTAAAGGAATGGAACGTAAATGCAAATGTTTCATGTTTAAATATCATAATAAATATTCTACCTTAAATATTTTATATACTTTTGCATATTATATGCGCTGTGCGCATTTTTGTACCGTCAAGCATCTCATAAATGCATAAAAATCCACAGTCTAATTATAAATAAATAAAAACGCAAATAATTATTCCTTATTCGAAAAATGACTAGTTCCGCGAGTGAGGAACTCGCAGCGCCCCGGAGATGCTTCGCGGATGACAGGTTAAGAACCACTGCCATAAACCATAACGACACGTGATCCTCCGTCGTTCCTATTGTCGCGGTCGAACGGTTAAAAACGTTTCCCGCGTAACGAGACCAGAGGTCGATAGAGTGAAAAAAGAAAGAGGAGGAAGAAGAAAACTGTGGAGAAAGAGCCAGAATATAAGAGAGACGATGGTGAAGCGGAGAAGGGAATAATCCGGCTTTCAACCGGTGCTTTCAAGAATTTAACGTTCCAGAAAGATTACGCAACAAAACGGATAGGTTAGGGGGAGGGAGTAGGGGTTGATGGTGAAAGAGTGGGGAGAAGTGCAAGAAGAAAGAGAATGGTGGATTACGTCACGAACTCTTCTGTATACTCGTCGATCGTACGTAGTTGGTACGCGAACCGATGTATCGACTCTTCTCGAGGGGATCGGCGAATCATTTACCGGGCTGCTTAAAACAAGGCCAATCTTAATTAGGGGATGCACCGGCGGATACATTCCCATGGGATCCCCATTGTTCCCTCCCTTTTTGCACCGTTCTGCGGTACGGTGCACGCCAGAGAGAGAACACCGTCTACGCGGATGTGGTGCGTCTAAAGGTGCACGCCCCCGTGCCCCTGGGATATCAAGTAGAGTACTACCGGTCTCCTCCGGCGTTTACCATGGAACAGAATTCCTTGGATCGACGGTGGATCTCGTATGCGCGCAACGCGCATGCGCGTGGGCGAGTGACATTAATATGTTTTCACGTGATAATGAAAGTTATCGTGTTTACTATTATGGTAAAGTTTGACATAATCACATTTAGTTAGCCTTAATTCTTTGCAGGCTTAGAAATGAATCTAACACTCCATTGTATTTCACTTTTTGGATTAATATACTTTAACGTTATATCTTAATTTCATAGAAATATGACAATGTAGTCTGAAGTTTTAACTGAATTTGAATCCCGAAAGTTTTTGAAAGTAACTTATTGATTACGAATCAATCCAGAGGAAATGTTAATGAAAGGATTGATACCTAACTTGTCACCGGCAGTTCTAGTATTAAATAGTATTAAATAGTACTCTAGTATTAAATTGAGTGTCAAGATACAGTGAAAAGATACTCATTATTCATTGTGTATGGACTTGTAAATAACATAGATTACAATCTAGCTTGATAACTCATACGTTTTTTGATAAATAAAAATAAGTGCTACAATTTCCAAGTGATACATACTTATTATTCGTTATATATTAACTAGCAATTAAAATAAATTGCAATCTAGCATGATAAATAACGCCTATAATTTCCAAGTGATATAGTATTAATTTGACGACTACGCGTTTCACGCGTGAGCGCTGCTTAACAGCCCGATAACCTGAACCAACAACTCACTGTGTTTTTATCTGATTGCTATACTCCATCAGTTCTAGCAGCGCTGACCAAACCTTACCGACCGAACAGATTGACTTAAAATTGAAAACGAGCTAAGATATCAATGCCGATATAGAAGGGTCGTATTCTTCATAGGTTATGTAGTATTTTGATGCATCAAGACATGATGCATATAGCTAACATGTTATAGCAACGGAGATTGAGTGGGGAAAGCCCCAATACGCGCATCAAATGAATGCACAGACCTGTTGTAACACCACTGATGATTCGTTTGTCGTCAACACCGGCGAAATCAGCGCGTGCTTGTTTTCTCAGAAAACAGTGGAAATAAACAACGATGGATAATTTAATTACATGTTCCTAGCGATCATGGAGTGGCTACGCAAACATGAAACCCGGCCAGATTAAATATATCCGCGTGCGTGATTGGCAAACACGTTGTGTAACGTGATATTCAACACGGTGGAACGATGATGACCAGTTGAAACAATGAACTTCACTCTTTTTCGGCATTCATATGGGCTTGTTTGTGGAACTATATAAATATTGTGAATATTATTCCATCGAAGTTGAAGTAATTCTGATGCTTGTTATTGTAGGACTTTGTTTTATGATGGAGATTATTTAATTGAGTTCGAGGAGATTATTGATAGTAAAAATTAAGTATGGTGCGTTCAGTGAGAAGGTATTTTTACTGTAATATCTTTCGATAAAGTTTTAAGTAATTATTATTATAATGCTGTAACTACAATAGGGAAATATATATTATAGCGAAAATAATTATGGTAAATCTCGAGGTAACAAATAAAATCACTAGACTTTCCATTAATTTATTAGAAGGTAGGATTCTTTAAAATTTCTTAATGGATTTATTTTTAATATGTAGGAACGTTAGTAGATTGTTTAATTTGTTGTACTAAATGTTTGCTTTTAAATAACAAAATAAATAGATCTGTGCAAGAAAGCAAGAATATCTAAATGCTCGATGAAACAAAAAGATTCGTAGTCAGCAACATTTTAAATCAGTGATTTCATTTCAAAGGCGGCCAAAGAACAAAAGCATTCACTACACGCTTCATTTTCTTCACCGTACCTTCCTACTGTCCCGCCCCTGGCCGGATTTTTCATTTCTTAAAAGCCTGCCTATCTCTATCCCTCATCGTACAATCCAAATTAAAACTATCTGGGACAACAGCACGAAAACCTGCCAATATAACTACATATCAATACCATTTTCTCCACCTTCCACCCGC